CACCAAATATCCGTATCCGGATCCGTATCCGCGGATATACTTTGTTAACGATCCGGCACATCATTAATACAGACCCGGGTCAGGCGGCCGTCTCACAGAAAACCGGTGTAAGTCATTATTTTGTTGCATTTCGCTAGGGGTGGAATAATATCGTCATCACAAATGTAACTGATTCACAAAACCACTGTAACTTAATTATTATTATTACGCTAGCGCAAGACTCGCGAAAGGACTAAATCTAAAAAAAATGGTCGTAATCTATATATATGTATATATATATAAGAGATTTCCACGTATATAGTCACTCATCATGATATCTCTACCATTAGAGCTAAAGACTTGAAATTTAGTAAGGAATATTCTTTTCACCGAGTAGAGGTCAGCTAAGAACGGATTTTAAGAAATTCAAAAAAATATATTTTTTTTAAATAATGTAAATAGCAAAACAACGTTTGCAGGGTCAGCTAGTCTTCAATAAAAATAATTTTGATTGATTTTAATGCCATTTACCTTTGCCTATGACGAAATCACAATCACGCTATGACGACCGGACGACCGCATGGCGAAGTGGTTTGTGTAACGGACTGCTATTCCAAAGGTCGCGGGTTCGATTCCCGCTCAAATCAAACATTTGTGTGCATGAACATTTAATGTTTGATTTGGTCTGGGTGTTTCTATGTAAAATATGTATGTATTTACAAAATAAAGTATATATATATTTATATCAGTTGTCTAGTACTAATAGTAGTACTCTGCTTAGTATGGGACTAGATGGCATTGTGTGAATGTGGTAGAATATTTTTATATTATATTATTATATGTGAAATCGCTGTGACTAAAACCAATCATTTCACCAAATGTATATGATTTAAAATTAGCAATAATTTGCCTTTCTGCTTTTCACCAAGTGATTGAGGTGAGGTGCACTTAAAGGATGTCAACGCATTAGCGGCGGTAGTCGCTTATCAAAAAGTGACCCGTCTGGTTGCTTTACCCCGACACCGTAAAAATAAAATTACCAAAAATTCTAAGAAATTTCCAAAGATAAATGCCGTTTCTTCAAAAAAATATCATGATATTATAAATGTCACGTATTCTCTAATCACTATGCAAGTAAATAGGTATATTTTTATATGTAAGTATTTTGTAGCAGAATCATTACAACTTCCTGCATTACAATTTGCACGAGGTGGACTTAATGTGCAGGCCGGGGTGGCGACGAGCGCGTTGCGAATCGCGCTCGCTTCCAGGGAGCACAGGGAACATGGGGTTCCCACACTTGGGGGTCGTCTACTCGTCTGTAGATGACCCGAGGTATGTCGGGGCACCAGGGTCTTTCTTTCTAGGGTATACCCGAGACGGTGTGCGGTTTTAGTCGGTTCGAGTCCGACATGACACCGACAGGTGGTATCAGAGGGGATTTCCGCACGGAGAAAAAAAAAAGGTGGACTTAATGTACGGTGTACGAGATCCTTAATTCTAATTATGATTTGCTTAAATCTGTAGAATTTACATACAGAGAAATCAATTTTTTCATTCTCTAGTAACAGACCTTAAAACTTGCCATAAATATTAGCGATGCATGCGTTGCCTCATCGACATTTTACTTTTACATTTCGCTTGCATAATAAGCATGAACCGTTAAGAAAGCCTGTAGTTTATGGTCGCTTGTTTTGTACGAATTTTATTTTAATCTAGAAATCGATTCTCAATTCTACTTTAAAATGTTTACAAAAACTTACCTTTACCTACTTTTATAGCAACTAAAAGGTACGTAAAGGGCGTAAACCCATTGGAAAGTGTTTATGTGAACGTTCTTTAAAACTTTCTCCCTTCGCTACTTGTTTATTATGGTCAAGGCACGAAGCCACTTTTTGCTAAGACCGATGTCGAATCGAAAGCGAAATACTTACATGTCTAGCCACCCAATTTGTATTTGCAATGCAACTGGTGAATTGAGGAAATTAAATTGACCTCAGTTTTAGAGTCGAAGAAAGATAAGAATACCCTGATTTTTATTGCAGATTATGGTTATCAATTGCGATCTTAGCGGCTTGGTTTACATCAAAAAATTTCAAAATCCTTCTTCACTGGTGTTGGCGAGACTGATAGTAATCGTTTGGGATTTTTTAGCATCGGCTACCGCTTTAAGCATCACCATTGTGATAGGTATTGCATAGCCCCAATTAATGCTTTTCATTCGGTAGTCACAACAAGGAACTCAAACTCTCTTTATTTCATAAAAAAATTAAAATTGTTTCAAATGGTATTTTATGTAGACTCTAAAGTCATAGATCAACACACACAAAAGCAACAATCTCTGTTTTATTAAATAGTAAGCAAAAAAATTTACTTAACTTACTTATAAACTGCCATAGCATCAGGCTCCACCACCTGTAAGGAAGTCTGAGGAATGCAAAGACTATTTTTCGAATAATATTGGTATTTGGTACTACTACAAAATGCTTCGATAAAGTTGTTTCTTGTATAAAGCGGGTAGCTCCTACGTTTATATTTCTTGACAAGTATTTCTATGAAGGTTTTATCTTTACTTAAAGAATGCATGTACCCACCGTTAAAACGACTATGAATTAAGGATGTCATAGTTGAACCTAAAATGATTTCATGCAAGAGATTTGGGGAGGGTGTTTTCAGCGAACAGTTCATCGGTGACCTATAATGTTTAGAACCGATTTCGGACAAGGATGTTTTCAGCGAACAGTTCATCGATAAAGGCTAATTCGGCATTCGATTCTGAGCTCGCAGACAACAACAATCTATACGTGAAGAAAATTCTCTTTACCCCTTTTTAAAAAACATGACTCGGCAGCATTAAAATTAAAACAATATGACAATGTGCTCGGCTATCGGGGTCTAGTATGTCTAGTACTAGTAGTATATACTTCGATCTGTCATGGTAGAAAAGTATAAACAGCGACAGTTTAATTTATACTGGTCAATAAAATAAAAGAAGACATCCAAAACTATCGAACTCGACAGCCAGGTCATCAGTCACCATCAATAACAGCCTCAATTTGTCCACTGCTCGACATAGGCTTCTCCTTAAAAGGAGGTTTTGACCTACTGTACCACGCTGGACAGACAGTGCAGTGTTGTTGTTGTTTGTTCCCACAGGATGAATAGGGATGGTGACACTCCGTATTCTTAATCCGTCACCACACAGATAAGATGTTTCTTTGTAGTGTTTGAATAATGATACACTTAAATAAATATACATACAGCATCTTGCGGTAAAGTTTCGCCATCTTTTTACCAACATACGTTTCTACGCACCTATATGCGCATCTATTCGATAAATAGAGGACAAAGTAAAAATATTGATTTTATTTTTTAAGAAAGAAAAATTTTGCTTTCTAGTTAAGGTTCTAGACCTACATCTCTCTCTTTCAATTTAATGGCCAGACCATTGTCGGTGGAGCACTTATCTCCAGATATTATTTATACCTACGTTAATGACACTTTAAGTAAGTACCTATAAAAAGAGCGAGCAGACGGGTCACCTGGTGGTACATATCTACCGCCGCCGTGGGGCGGTGAGTTGGAATCGAACCGACTAAAGCCATACGGTGTGCCATAGGTGCTCCCTTTAATAGGAAGATCCGGGAACAGCTTTTATTAAGACATCCGGACATCCTACAGTAACCTCACTGACTTCGCAAAGTCCATCATCTCGACATCGGTCAGCCCAGATGTGCTGAGGGCTTAGTGTAAGTTTCTTTCACTTCTACTCGCTCTCGACAGCCAACGCGTTTGGCGTTGTGATTGGTGAAGATTTTAGCGCGGACCAATCGCAACGCCGAACGCGGTCACCGTGACGAGTGAGTTGATGTAAAATAAACTCGCACTTGGCCCTCTGCTACACAAAATATTTATTCTAGATAATGAACAATTGATTCGATATTAATTTATTCTGACTGGCTAGTTATACGAGTAGATATTATAGTTTTATGAGTAAATACTAAACATTTTTTTTTCTTATTTCCCTATTCAGTCTATTAGGTCCACATGAACCAACATTTGCCTCGAGTACCTATTAAGTACCTACTTAAGTACTCGAAGTAAAGTAGGTACTTAGATAAGCGAAACTCGAGTTTATCGACTAATCATTTTTCATTTCTTACTTTCTTCCAAAGCCACGGGAATGCCTACATAATCCTTGAGATTTTCGTTATTGTTGTTTTACGAATATAACAAAAGAACAGAACCTTGGTTACGTAATTATTTTTAAATTGTTGGTATTTCTTTAACAAAGGAAACGTGATTTGTATCATCATAGTCAAATATTCGAAGCATTTGATTCTCAAAAGAATAACGTCAAAATCGAAATAAAGTAGTTCCTAAAAGATCCTGTCGAGATGAAAAGTAAAAAGGGACGGCGTAACATCTTGATGCGATAGAGTGAGCGAGACAGATAACAGGTGAATGAGGGGTCACGAATAGTAACACTATGAACTAAGTTGCTGGCAAGAATTCTATTTTTATATTTGTTATGTTTCCTTCGCTGGTTTTGTAATGCGTGATTGCGGCTTTTGGTTATGATACAGGTAAGACGAAAACTAGGTAGATACGTACTCTATGTCACCATTACAAGATGTAAAGTATTTTTGTAAAGTTATGTGTAACTAATGCTAATCAGTACAACGAAGTAGTCAAATTAATCATCAAATTAGAAATGAACAGACGTCATTTAAAGTAGCTACCAGTAACGTCAGCTGTTACCGACGTCGAACTTGAATCATAAAAGTACGTGAAAACCCTGATTCTACATATTGTTGGTCACCCTAGTCATGATTCATGGAACCCAAGCGGGTTGCGGGGGGGACGCGCCGCCATCGCGATCTCTTGCTTATTTTCTTTAGTAGCATTTACAACGCCTAAGCGAAAGGGTCTTAGTTGCGCTCGAACGAAACAAACAAAAACACCGCGTGTGACATAGTGCTATTGTGTGTGAACATATAAGTGTAAACTTCTCAGCCAAGATGGGATGTGGTACAAGTTTTGTGAAATATGTGCTGTTTTTCTTCAACTTGCTTGTTGCGGTGAGTTGGGGAAAGGGCGGGCTTGTAACCGGTTTTGGTTGACTATGTTCCGGTAGACGGCTGATGGTATGACCAGCGAACAGTGAAACCGACGCCTTATACTGGGCGCTAACCACGAGCTATTATAAGTTTCAATCCGACTCGAGCATTTGATTTTTATGTACTCGCTTTTCAAATGGCGTTGTTTAGTTTGAATCAACGATTTTAGTTATTTCTTAATAGGTATACTTATTCTAAAAACATTCTGATTTAAATTGGAGCATTTCATACCGTTTTATTTTTATTATTATTGAAACATTAACAAGATCATATAATTCTGTTTTACTTGCGTAAAGATGGGAACAAAGAGATGTACCTACCTACCTCTATGGCTGTTAAGATTTAAATTCTGTCGTCAATAATAGACTTCATAGAGTAAATCGAATTGCCTTTTTTCAATCTGATACTCCTTTTTTGTTGCCTTTAACATTTTAACTCATTTAGATAATATTTTTTATTATTTAAAAAGTAAACGTACGTCGCATTGATTTAGTTTTACACTTAAATTTTGATAATTAAACGGTACAACGTAGTCTAAAAACCTGTTTGGTCACCAACCCGTATGGAAAATTAAATCTTATGACTTTAAAATATACAAGATGCTATTTAGAAGTTAATTTTAAACATAGCTACCAACGTTCCATAAATTGCTTAATCTTCATGATAAAATTATACAAGTAAAGTATTTATTAAAGTGGTACACTGACTTCGGACCCGTCAGGGGCCCTTAATCAACGAGTGTGACGCCTGACATATATCTGCTGGATGCTACAGTTCCTTCCTACCTTTGTATACCTACTATTTGTGCACCCTCGGCAATAAACACTTGAGTAACCGCATATCTTTAATATAAGTATACTTCTTACGATAGTTTTTATTCTAAAATCAAATAACATAACGTAATAATTTAAAAATAGTGTTGACTAAAGATGAATCATGCAACAATGCGTTCAGTTATTACAGTTTACTCCTAAACAGGTATTGCGTCAATGTCGTACGTAAGACCATCAGTGAGATCATAAATGCTAATAAATAATACATACTTATCAATCAGAAAAGTAAACTGCACTGTTATTGGCTTGCGTACATGTATCTGAATACCATTGTGTGGTCTAGGCGGCGAAGATCTCGGAGAATCCCTAAGCAAATTAAACATTGCCGCTGTTTTCCTGAACTCTCGTTAAACGAGTTACAAAGCAATTTTATGTGTCAGTCATTCGTTCACAGAATCTCCCTTTTCAAGTGTCTTTTTATAGTAGACTACGGGTCCCAGGCCATAATAATAAAAAATCAATAAGTTTAAAGCTTTATTCTTATTCACTGTTATGGATGGTAGTTATACAAGTATTTTTATGATGAAGTCAGTAGGTAGGTACCTATTGAATCATAGAATAGTGAAAAAAAACATGGCTTTTATAATCGTAGTAGTAGTAGGTATTTAAACCTCTTTGTCTTTGGTCTAAGATAGAACTTATTTCCTTTGTTTAGTCCACAGATAAAAATAAACAATCTAAACTATTGTAAACAGGACGATTATACTTCCGTTTAGCTGCCAAGAAGTAGGCATGTTTAAAACGAACTTTGTGTTGACACTACCAATATCATCACTTTTATACCGTTAACATTAATTACACCTAATCAACATTTTGTTAAATGAAGCTGTCCTTGAAATAACTACTCGTTGCTAGAATTACTTACATTTGATACACAGCTATGCTAACTGATATTATATGTTGAGAAAATAAATTTTATTACTACGTGATAAGACTTAATATAGGACGAAGTTCCTGAATATAACTTGTAAAGATCCGGGGTCTTGCTTTTAGGTACACTTAGCCCTGCGCACATCTCCGGGGATTCTGAATGTACGTAATAAGGATGTTAAAACACGAACACTAAGTGCTCTCGCACTCTATGTAGACATTACACAAAATAGCATAAGAACGATTTAAAAAAAAAACCTTAAAAACGCAGAATGTAGGCACGATAGAAAAAGAAAAACAACTGATGCAAGACACGATACAACTTTTCATGTAGGTACCTACATCTTTTTAAATTATTTTGAAAATATCTAAGACTAGTATTATATTATGTAATACTACAAAATTCGAGGTGGCGTAAGTTTTTGGATTATTATTGTGGGGTGTGGGCTCATTAATTTGAAGCAAACTGGGTCGAAAATAAAGATTGCGTGATAAATACACATTTTCCACCTCCTTTACCAGCCAAAGTCAACAGGTGCTGAATAATTAACTAACAGGTAGTGTTGTCGTTTAGGATATTTTTGTGTAAGTTCATTCCCGTGTTATTGAAACCAGAAATGAGAACTTAATGTAACAAGAAATCGTAGATATTGTTTTTTACGTGAATCATTCAGCGTGACACAAGTTTAACGATTCGAATGAAGGCCATTAGGTTCTACATCTGAAATTGTAACAAAAAGCTTTGCTGTTATAATGGTTATCGAAAATCCTTGTACGTATTTCCTACGAAGTATGTCAAGGAGAAGTCCTCCGCTTCGAAGGAAACATTTGTAAGACGTGTTCGTGACTCAAGGTTAAATGCCCCCGAAGTTTATCCTTATGAGTGACTCAATTTAAAATGAGACATTGGAATTCCTTTTACCTATACGTGTTAGCAGTTTTAAAGAGAATTAAATCAAGTGATGGCTTGTAAAATCTGAAGAATTCTTTAAGTTCTTGACAAAGCACAACAATTATATGATGGCCTTGTGCACAGAAAATATGCATCAAGTTATTAATTTAACCATTGCGTCCCATTGTCGAAGTAATAAAGCTATAGTTGGCAGCAATAATTCACGATATTGAAACATACGCGTGACCTGGCTTGGTGACATCATCGCCCCAACGGCTGCGGTCTTAGCCGCCGAACTGGCGCCCGTAACACTTAAAATGCTTGTCCTAATGCTCCTATTACGTACTTTAAAGGACGAAACTAAAATTTAAAAATAATAATTCAATTTCAGATTACTTATAGAAGTCATTCAAATGCTTTCCTCAATTTTTGATATTTATTAGCGCTTTTATCCATTTCCTTGAACAAATGTCGTTTAAATGTTGTGGGCCGGAATCCCGAACAAAACAGGTTCTAGACGGAACTTTTTTTATATGTAGGTATTGCTCACATCCAGCGTGCAATAGATTATTTTTTGTAACAAATCTACGTGGTTTCGGATGTTGCACACTACGGCCTTGCTTTATAGTTGAGTTTCTCTTTGGCAATCCTCACCTTATTTCATATCATAATGTTCGCTGAATAATACTTCAATTTTTAACTTAATATTTAAAATTTTCGGATTTTGTAAGGTAGTATTACAAATACAATACAATATAAGTCCGTGTGGTGACGGATTAAGAATACGGAATGTCACCACCCCTATTCGTCCCGTGGGTGTCGTAAGAGCCGACTAAGGGAACAAACTGCACAGGACAACAGCACTGCAAAAAGAAGGAAAACTTAAAACAAACCCTATACCAACCCGTCTGGCCAGCGTGGTATAGTAGGCCAAAACCTCCTTTCTAAGGAGAGGCCTATGTCCAGCAGTGGACTAGCTAACTAACTATTATAGGCTGTTGATGATGATGATGATGATTACAAATAAATTTTTTATCTTTATCAACAGACCTACAAAATAATGAACATAATCCTTTGGCAAGCAAAAATTGAGCTTGTGTCGAGAGACAGGCATTTTATCGTATTTGAATGACGCATGTTTCAAACTCGTAAAAGGACAATCAAGGTTCCTCTGAATATATTTGATGTTCGGTTTACCAATAAAATTATCGTACGCCCAGTCTATTGCAAACAAAATGTAGTAAAAATGGTCAATCTTACACAATAGCAATATTCAGAAACATTTCTGTAACTGGTTTCACGGGTTTGGTGGAAATATAAATACTTTTAGAAAATACTAGCGGATCCCATAGACGTTGTCCTGCACACACGCATAAATAAAAAATGATCTAAAAAACATTTTGTAGTGGACCGAAATGTGAATCTAAACCATTCTCGAATCCACTTGAACACACACACACACATAAAATTTATACAAAATCTATGTTTAGGAATTGAGACACATACACACGCAAAGAAGAATGATATTTATATATAAAGATTTGTATTATAAATAGCTGTTTAATGAGATATTAATAGCAATAAAATAATAATTAATAGATGATAGGACGTATTCACTACAGGTTGACAAAACACGTTTTTTAATTATTATAATATTGGATTGGTGTAATGTCTAATGTCACTCACTAGATGTGTTCTTAACCGACTTCAAAAAAGGAGGAGTTTCTCAATTCGACTGTTTTTTTTGATGAATCCTTTTTTTAAATTTAAAGGATTGGGAAAGTATGTTGTCAAGTAAAAGTTGTACACTTATGTACATAAAAAATAACTTAAAGTAAATAATAGAAATGTGAATGCTATGAAGATGAGCACTAAAAACTATTATTTTGCTTCTAGAAAGAGCTCAAAGAGCGATTCTAAAAGTAGCCTCTCCTATTTCCCACAACTTTTTTTATTTTACTTAGTTGCAACCATGTTGCAAATTTTTTATAGTATCGGACGTGTATAGTGTGTGATGAAATGTACACCTCTCCATTATATAAACTACACAAAGTTTAATTCATTTAGGTCAAGTCATTACGACATGTAAATACACATACTCTCTTCGTGTATCTTCTATTAAATAAATATAGTAAAAGAAAACTTCGTTTGTATGTTTGCTATGGCATTGAAAGCGGACGCTTAGTATAGAATAGAAATGTAAATTTGTATTCATTGCCTGAATATACACGTGATCCGGTTTTAATTAAGTCCACTTCCTGTTTAATTCGAACATTTTGTCATTATTACAATTATATTTAGTTATAATGCATTCATACCTAACGTGATTAGTTTTTATTATATAGTTTAATCATTTTATTGTGAAA